AAAAAATCTATTGTTTAAGAGAAAACAAATTTTGTGTTTTTTTTATTATTGCGCGCCTATAGAAAAAATGGTGAAAAAATATGTTTGAAGAATTAAATATTGTTCATTTTCGATTCAAGGCGCCTATAATTAAAAATAAACAAAGTACCTGAAATGAGACTCTCCCGATTTGGGTGACATCTATCTTAGTTTCTGACACTCATCTACATAGACTAGCTGTGATTTTTTTAGAATTCTGAAAACCAATTTCACCCATAGTTTGACTATTTTCTAAACCTCTTAAATAAAAATATATTTTGAATTACTTTTGTACAAATATAAAATCGTTTGTTGTCATTGCCTAGTCTAAATTGTGTATGGTATTTTATATTTTCTCGATTCTTTTTATAATTCAACTCTATAAACATGCTACAAATACCTTCAAGAATCTATAATTATTTTGAAAGACATCATTAATTGTTTTAAAATAAAACAAAAGAAAGTGATGGATGATTCGAGTGAATATGATTCTAACAATGAAATATGTTCAGAATCTAATAATAAAACATCTTCAGAATCTGACGAATCAAGTCGTTCTTCTAAAGAATGTGATAACTTTTCTGATGATGAGAACAGTGACAGCACAATCAAGTGGAATTACAATGTTCCAAAGAGAAAATTAAAACCATTCAATGATCAATCCAATATATTACATCAATATGGTTTCAAATTTCGTCCAATTGACGCTTTTATGCTATTATTTACAGAACAATTATTTGAACTGATCTGTAAACAAACAAATATTTATGGACAACAAAAACATGACAAAAAGTGGACAAAATTAACATCATTGAACTTAAAAAATGGATCGGAATAAATATTCATATGGGATATCACAAATTACCATCTTATACGAATTATTGGTCAACAAATTTGAACTTCAAAGTACCAATTGTATCTGAAGCAACGACAAAAAAACATATTTACCAAAAATATAGAACAATATTCATTTGGCAGACAATGAAAATATGTTATCGAGGACATCGAAAAAGGTATTCAAAAAATGGATACGTTTTCAACTTTAGTATCTAAAAAAGACGGGATAGTAAGGTGCGGGCAGTTCAAACTTCAAGTAAAATTTTTTTTCTACTATTTTTTTACTTCATCTGATAGAGCTTGAGCCGCCAATCACAAAAATCTACTTTTTAGCCTTAGTGAATGCTTCCTTCCGGTAGAAAAATACGAAATACTGGAAGGATGTCGTTTTTTTCAAAAAACACAACTTTTCCAAAATGTCCGAAATTTTCCGCTTCGTTTTTTTTCAGCTTCTGAAAACAATTTTTTCAGATTCAGCATCAAAAACTGAGTTCAGATAGGTTCTGAAATCGACTCTAGATCCAAAACTCTATTCATGGTGGTGCTTCGAATTGTGTCGACTATGATGTATATAGGTCGATTTTGTAAACCTATCAAGTTTTTCTACGTAAACGATGGAGTTAGTTATTTTATCTCATTCCATTCAACATACCACTTGGCATCAAATTACACATCCTTTTTTCCTTTTCTTTCTTTCGTCGAGAAAACTCGTTTTTACTGTATGATACGAAAAACGGGGAGATCATCTTTACATAAAATCTTTGTTTTTCATTTAAATCAACGGAAAATTTGTTCACATAGGCAAAAACTGATGATAAATCCAATAGACATGCTTTCGAAGTCTGTATGGGGTCTTCAGAGGGTCACTGGAAAACTTTCCCTTGAAAAACGATAGTTTTGTTGTTCTGGTTAGGATTTAATCTTTTTAACGCAGAAACTGATTAGTTTTTCATGTTTATTCACTGCTCTACATGCTTGGC